ATCCACATATTGGGGTGTCCAGCCCATGGAGAGAGAAAGGTTGTGTGGGGGAACAGGGACAGCTTTGGAACTTTAACTTCCCTCTGTAAAAGGGAGAGGAGCAGGTTGTAGCCCCCCAGCATTCTCCTCCCCCACTACCAAACACCATGCCCTGGCTGAATGAACAGTCTGTCAATGGTGGGGAGCAACCCTGAGTGAGGAGCACAACAGGTGAAAGTGATAGGGGGCCTTTGGGCACCCTGGACCTATCCTCTTGTTGCTGTGACTGTGGCCATGTGTCTTGGCAGATGTGAGCCCTCAGGTGTGGCTGGTGGTGGGACAAGAGGGGCTGACAGCACCCAGGGGCTCAATGCATCTCTCCTGCCAGGCCTTTGACCTTTGGGTTTCACTTGTACAAACAGATGCCTAGTGTAGGGGTACCAAGTTTGTCTCCTACATCAACCACAGTTCTTCCACATCGCAATATGGGGCTGCTGTGGACAGGCAAGCCGCCACCTCTAGGAGAAGCTCCCAGAGCACATCTCTGGTCTTGTGCATCCTGCATCCTCAGGACCCTACCAACTGCTTCTGCATGTGGTGATTTAGCATGGCTTTCAGGAGTCAGGCAGGGACCAGCCAAAATCCTCCCTGGGTCTCTGCTCACCCTGGGACTACACGTCCAGTGAGGTCCTGCCTGCCCCCTACATCCAGCCCCTCCAGTTTCCACCCCAGGGCACTGATCTCGCCTACACAAGGGCCAGTGTGAAACACCACAGGAAAGAGGATGGAAAGAGAGCTAGACACTCCTGTGGATGCAAGAGGAGGAAGAGGAGGGGTACTGCTGGGGAAGAGGGAGCGGAGCAGGGGATGCCTCTCTTTCTGCTGAGCCAGGGCTGGAAGAGTCTAGCAGGGCCCAGGAGAGTCCCAGCTCTGACTCGTATTCCTGCAGGGCTGCAGGGTACACTTGGACCATGGTCCCACAAAGGGTACAGATGAGCCCCAAAGATGAGCCCAGCATGCTCAGCCCACCTCTACCCATGCAGAAGCTGGGACTGGTTTGTCCCCTGGGCTGGTGTTCCCAGTGCTGCTGGGGGTGTGTGATGGGGCCAGAAGGGTCACAGGCTCCATCTGCCTAACCCAGGTTTTGCCTCTCCCTTCTGGGAGTCAAGAGTTTGGCTCTGCTCCTCTCTGTGTCCCTTTGGGGTTTAGTTTCTCTTCTCCCTGCACCAAAACAGAAGGACATGATCCCATAGAGGATGGGTCCTTGGCTCCTGACCTTGTCCTGCACAGCACTGCTGGGACATGAGAGCCATGAGGGAAGAGGAGAGAGACTGGGACTGAGTAGGCTTAGGCTGCCCCTGCGCACCTTGGCCCACTGCTGCCCAACTCTAAATGCCACTACGTAAGATGAATCCTTGCATGGAAATCATCTTCCCTTTTCAGGTGGGATGGGATGTTGGTGCAGTGCATCAGAGATTTTTCTGAGCATGGAGTAAGGGGAAGACATTCCTAGACAAAGCCAATAACTGCCCCAAGGAGCTGTGCAGAGTCTCAGTCTGAGCAACCTTGGGATTTTCTAGGGGCAGGCCATTTCCTGGGGAGGTTTAAGAGCCCTGTGCTTCTTGTCCCTCTGGGGCTCATGTGCAACTGACAAACCAATTCCCCATTTGTCCATGCCCAGCCTGTCCTCTGCACTGTCTTGTGCACGGGGGTGTGGGTCCAGTCATAGCCAGTGAAGGGAGCAGGAGGACTGCGAAGGGCTGGGGACTCCATGCGCTCCTTCTGCCAAGCTTTTGGATTCATATTTAAAGATATGGCATGTTTACCAGCAGTTACCCAGATTCTCATGGTTCTCCTGCATCAACAGTCCTTTGGTTAGTACAAAGAAATATGGGTCTGTGGTGTCTGGGCACAGGGATAACTCCTGGAACTAAAGGCCAAAATTCTGGTTTTGTGCACCCTACAACCCCAGGATGGACTACTGCACCCATGAGCTTTCTCATAGACACTCAAATCTCACACCTGCCCTGTGTCTTTCCAGGTACCCTTTCCCCCATAAAGATGGTGGCATCTGGTCCCAAGGAGGGGAAGGTCTCCGGATCACTCCCACTCACCTGTACTGTAATGGGAACACCTCTGAATAGTCCTCAATATGACTGGAATTGTGTCCGTCAGGCCCCAGGAGGAGAGCTGCAATTTCTAGGCTGGATCTATCCTTTTGGGAATAACACAGGCTATGCCCCATCCTTCCAAGGCCGAGTCACCATCTCTGCAGATAAAGACAAGAACAAGGTCTCCCTGCAGCTGAATGCCCTTACAGCCTTAGACACAGCTACCTATTTCTGTGCCAGGCAGCACACAGTGACACCAATGGAGGGAGAGGCAGCACAAAAAGGGGGAGGACTGCTGGGGTGTGTCCTGATTTCAGCTGGGATAGAGTTAATTTTCTTCCTAGTAGCTGGTACAGTGCTGTGTTTTGGATTTAGTATGAAAATAATGTTGATAACACACTGATGTTTTAGTTGTTGCTAAGCAGTGCTTACACTAGTCAAGGACTTTTCATCTTCCCATGCTCTACCAGCTGAGAAGGCTGGAGGTGCACAAGAAGCTGGGAGGGGACACAGCCAGGACAGCTGACCCAAACTGGCCAACGGGATATTCCATACCATGTGACATCATGCTCAGTACATAAACTGGGGGAAAGCTGGCTGGGGGGGCCACTGCTTGGGGACTGACTGGGCCTTGGTTAGCGGGTGGTGAGCAATTGTACTGTGCATCACTTGCTTTGTATATTCTTTATTATTATTATTATTGTTGTTGTTGTTGTTGTTGTTGTTATTATATTATTTCAATTATTAAACTGTTTTTATCTCAGCCCACGCGTCTTCTCATTTTTACCCTTCTGATTCTCTCTGTGGTCACGCAGGTAAAACCATAGGGTGCCCCGTGGTGTGTACCCTTTATATCATGTTGGGCGCCAAAAAAGGACTGTTGTGGTTTAACCTCAGCTGACAACTGAGCACCACACAGCCACTCGCTCACCACTCGCTCACTCCCCCCCACACCAGTAGGATGGAGGAGAGAATCGGAAGGGTAAAAGTGAGAAAACTCATGGGTTGAGATAAAAACAGTTTAATAATTTAAATATAATAACAACAACAAACAATAATAATAATAATAATAACAGAATATACAAAGCAAGTGATGCACAATACAATTGCTCACCACCCGCCGACTGATGCCCAGCCAGTCCCCGAGCAGCGGCCCCCCCTGGCCAGCTTTCCCCAGTTTATGTACTGAGCATGACGTCACATGGTATGGAATGTCCCTTTGGCCAGTTGGGGTCAGCTGTCCTGGCTGTGCCCCCTCCCAGCTTCTTGTGCACCTCCAGCCTTCTCAGTCAGTAGAGCATGGGAAGATGAAAAGTCCTTGACTAGTCAAGCACTACCTAGCAACAACTAAAACATCAGTGTGTTATCAACATTATTTTCATACTAAATCCAAAACACAGCACTGTACCAGCTACTAGGAAGAAAATTAACTCTATCCCTGCCGAAACCAGGACAGGTGACAGGGCCCTTTCTCAAAATGACAGTTGCCTGTACTTACTCTGGGAAATATCAGTAAGGTTTGGGATTAATAGATGTTGGAACTCTCAATCTATCCATGGGCAACTGAATTTGCAGTAAAACTTGACATTTATAATGGAAGTTAGAAATAAAATTTCATGTGTGAATAAGTCCCATGGGCAGGTCAATCCCCAAAACTCTCACACAGCACAGACTTTTCACCTCCATTCACAGACTTCCCCACAAGCTACCATCACCGCCTCTTCCTCACAGCTACACTGGTGCTCCTTCAATCCCAGGAGAATGGGGGCAGAGAGACCACCTCAGGGCATCTCTCTGGGCAGGGATGCTGTGGAGCCAGTGTAGGGGCAGCAGGAAGGCATGTGGCTCCTTCTCTGTGCAGCGCAAATCTGCCCCAAGTTGCCTGTCCAACCCCCTCCTGTAAAGAAGGGGGTTGTACCCTTGGAGAGTATGTACCCTCACAGCTCTAGGCATGGGGGTGTGGATGGATGCTTTGTCACATGCTGGACCTGGGGTAGGGCCTGAGCAGTGCCAGTCTGCAGCAGCATGTGTAAAACCTCACTGCACAAGGGGAAAGGCTTTTGGGCTGATCGGGCTTTTTGGGTGAGAAGAGCCTGCAAGCAAGGGACCATCAGGAGAGAGGGAGGTGCCTCTGAGGGCACAGAGCTGGTGGAGGAGAAGAGGAAGGAAGCAGGCAAAGAAGGCAAATGGTATCTTGTGCTGCATTAGGTAAAGCGTTGTCAGCAGATTGAGGGAGGGGATCTTTCCCTTCTGCTCAGCATCAGTGAGACCACACCTGGAGAGCTATGTCCAGTTCTGGGCTCCCCAGTACAAGAGAGACATGGATGTACTGGAGAGTGTCCAGCGAAGGGACACAAAGATGATTAAAGGATTGCAGCATCTTTCCTGTGAGGAATGGCTGAGAGCTGGGACTGTTCATCCTGACGAAGAAAAGGCTCGGGGAGGATCTTGTCAATATATAAATACCTGAAGGGAGGGTGTAAAGAGGATAGAGCCAGGCTCTTTCCAATGGTGTCCAGTGACAGGACAAGAGGCAATGGGCATCTCCATACACACACATGTACACAGAATAGAGAGCCCCCTTACCTAGGAATACAGTTAGAAATGGATTTTAATAAGAAGGTAGGACAGACTGTGGAGATCACATGCAGGGCATGGCCAGACAAATGAACTGACCAGCCCCCAGTGCATACAACAGGTCCCTTTTATCCCTTTTTCCCTGATTCCCCACATTTCTCTTTCCTGAATCACCTTGATCCCTTCTTTTTTCCATCTTTTTCTGTTCCCTTAACATGTCTCTTGCATATTCTCACAATCCTCTTAGAGCACTTTATAATAAGGTGTATTCAATCCCCAAATCCTCTTCCTGTTATCCGATAATAAGTCACTAGCTTATCATCCCCTTTTTGTTTGCAAGTCATCCTGGTAAGAATTTCCCTGTTTCTTAACAAGGATGGAATAGAATAGAATAGAATAGAATAGAATAGAATAGAATAGAATAGAATAGAATAGAATAGAATAGGAGTAGTTCAGTTGGAAGGGACATACAACTGTCATCTAGTCCAACTGCCTGACCACTTCAGGGCTGACTGAAAGTTGAAGTGTATTATTAAGGGCATTGTCCAAATGCCTCTTAAACGCTGACAGGCATGGGGCATCAACCACCTCTTTAGGAAGCCTGTTCAGGGTTTGACCACCTTCTCAATAAAGAAATGATTCCTCATGTCAAGTCTGAACCTACCCTGGTGCAGCTTTGAACCATTCCCAGGTGTCCTGTCCCTGGATCCCAGGGAGAAGAGATCAGCACCTCCCTCTCCATGTCCCCTCCTCAGGAAGCTGTAGAGCGTGATGAGGTCGCCCCTCAGCCTCCTTCTCTCCAAACTAGACAAACCCAGAGTCCTCAGTGGCTCCTCAGAGGACATGCCTTCCAGCCCTTCACCAGCTTTGTTGCTCTCCTCTGAACACATTCGAGGACCTTCACATCCTTTTTTAATTGTGGGGCCCAGAACTGCACATCGCACTCAAGGAGAGGCTGCACCAACACTAGATACAGTGGGATAATCACCTCTTTTGACTGGCTGGTTATACTGTGTTTGATACACCCCAGGATGCAGTATCCTTTTGGCTGCCAGGGCACACTGCCAACTCACATTAAGCCTGCTGTCAACCAGCACCCCAAGATCCCTTTCTGCAGGGCTGCTCTCCAGACACTCTACTCCCAATTTATACTTGTGTCCAGTGTTATTCCATCCCAGGTGCAGAATCCAGATGATGAGCTAAATGTCCTCATTGGGTGGACTCAGGGAGCAGTAGATTCTCTGTGCCCTGTTTTCACTGTTTAGATTACTGTTCGGTTACTGGTTTCCTCTAATCTTCCCCCCTTTGCTCGGTGTCTGTGTTCACAGTGATTAGACATTAAATAGATGACCTAACACTGGTCATGTAGAGAGATTTATTAACTGTGCTGTTGGCACTGGCTCTGTCTTCTGCTTTCCAGGCTTTGGTGCCTAGCTCGGAGTGTAATGCAAGACTGTGCAAGTGATTGCTGGCATTTGGGAATATGTGTGTTGTGCAAGTATTTGCAGACCTTTCATTTTCAAAGTAAGACTGGAGCTACAGTGTCCTTGGCTTCATCACCTACCTGAACTACTGCCTGTGGGAAGGGATTGAATTCTTTATCTCCAACCTTCATGTCTGCCTTTGTCTTTCCAGGTACATTTTACCAGATACAGATGATGGTGTCTGCCCCCAAGGAGAAGTTCATCAGATCTCTCTCAGTCACACCAAATCTGGTTTGTCCGCACATAGTGATATCTGTGTTTGGCACTGGGTCTGTCAGGTTCCTGAGGCACACTCAGAACTGTAGGTGGATCTGTCCAAATAATTTTGTAAACTCTGCCCTGTCACCCAGGCCAAGTCACCATCTCTTCTGGCAAAGGAAGAACAAGATCTCCTTGTGGCTGCATGGTATAACAGCTTGCAGACACTTCTGTGCCACTCACACTGGGAGGATTGTATCAAATCAATAATGTTATACATTGGACTGGTCTGTTTCAGTTGGAAAAGTGAGCTGAAAGGGTGCATTTTAATAAGACACTGTATTCTTCTTTGGCCAGGATGACTGGAAGGAATTAAGGTACTAGTATGTGTTGGACCTCTGAAAGGGAAGAATAGAGCAAGATATTGAAGAAAAAAATTACACAGCAATAAACTATATACTTGAGTGTCTCACCCAGCTGTGCTCTGAAAACATGGCTGTGCCATGATCTGGTGTGAATCTATCCATTTATCTCCTGCACTGCATTGAGACTTAGCGATGTCACATCCTTCCCAAATGAAACTGCTGTCCCTGTAGAAAAATGTAGAACCCAGCCTTGTTTGTCACTGGCACCTGCTGATGCCACCTCCTAGACCATACTTCGCACATATTCAGTAAGTCCTGGGGTAGAAGAAAAAAGAGATTGCAAGGTTGAATTCAGTCTTTTCATTACTTTCTTGAAGCAGTCACAAATCAGAAGCTGGGAAGCTCTTACAGTAAAGGGGGGAAGAGAGAGACACAGTTTGAAAAGTGAGAATTTGTGACACAGATTGAAGCTGTTCTTGGAAATTCAGAGGCTGTGTAGTGAAACATATTGTGTGCCTCTCCAGCATGACCCAACTTCTCCTAATTTCTCTAGCTCTCCTGCCAGATCCTGCCAGATCCTCCATGCATCTGAGGATCCATGCCTCCTTGTGATCTTCTGTCATGTGTGTCTCTCTTAATTTCCATCGTATAAATGTGTATTTATTAAAGTTGTGTG